TAGCGATGGTGTAGCGCTAAGCGCTACTACACTACCGCTCCCCACGCAAAAAAATATGGGACGCTTCACGAATTTGCTCTGTCATCCTTACTTACAGGGGCCACACACACACACACGCACGCACACACACACACACACACGCACACACACGCACACACACAAACACACACGCACACACACACGGACGGTGAGTAAAGCGTGGATGGGTGCGAGGCGCCGGTGATCGAGGACAACTGAACTATGCAACCAATTAATAAGCTTGTGCCGGCGGCCCCCCGGGGGTGGAAGGGAGGACAGGCGTCTGCGACGTCTGCCGGCCAAACCCCATTCGGCGGAGCCAGGAGGCCGAATCTCCACCCCCGTTGGCTCCTCCGGCAACAGCGAAAACGCCACTTGCGTGTGGCCACGTGGAATGCTCCAACGCTCGCTGCGGAGGAGAGAGGCTGCCCCCACTCCTCCGTCGGGGAGCTGGGACGGTACCGCCCGGATCTCTGCGGTATTCAGGAGGTCCGGTGGACTGGATCTGGTTCCTGCCGCCGTGAGGGGGGGTGGACAGTCCTCTAACTCGGGGCAGGAGACTGCCAAACAACAGGGGGTGTGGCTCTTCTTCTGAACAAAAGAATGAAGGGGGCGTGGGAGAGCGTGGCGGTGAGGTGTGGGAAGCTGTAAGCCCCAGGCTGCTTTGGGCTCGCCTTCCCGTCAACCGGAGGGCGAGGAGTGGTGGTCGTGGTTACTTATGCCCCCATCGAAGACGAACATCCGTGGAGGGATGCGGGCAAAGCCGATGGGTCAGATGCCTTCTACGACCTCCTGTCACAGGTGCTGGCTAAAGTGGCCCCTCGGGATAGAGTCATCATGTTGGGTGACTTCAATGCCCGAGTTGGTCATGATGCTGGCACCTGGTCTGGCGTGATTGGAAGGCATGGGCCAGATCAGCTCAGTAACAACGGTAGGAGGCTGCTAGATTTTTGTGCAGCCCATGGGCTTGTAATTACCAACAAGCTGTTCCGGCATCGGTGCATCCACACAACATCATGGATGCATGCCGGGTCCAAGCAAGAACATCTGCTGGACTACATAGTGACGGACCAGCGGATGCGGGCCCATGTCCTTGACACCAGGACCTACCGTGGAGCTGATCTGCCCACTGACCATCGACTAGTCATCTGTAAGATGCGCCTGCCATTCTTCCACTCCGGTGGTGGGTGTACACCCAGGACCCCATTCAAACCCTGAGTGGCCTGGTCTCAGCTGATGAATGTTGCAAGCGAGAATTTCATCATCGCTTGCGGCTGGGGTTGGCATCGTCCCCCACTCCTCCTGATGTCGAGGGTAAATAGGCGAGGTTTAGGACTGTGGCTCATGCAGCTGCAATGGCTGCTTTGGGTACGCGGTCCAGACCTCCCCAGAGACCCTGGCTGACAGAGGAGGTGTTTCAAGCTGGCTGAGAAAAAGCGACAGGCCCACTGTCATCGGCTACAGAATCCCACGTCAGAGAATGAGGAGGCTTACCGCAGCCTTCGCTCGGAGGTTCGGAGAGCCGTGAGGCGCTGCAAGGATGGGTGGTGGTCGTAGGTTGCTGAGGAGATGGAGTCTGCCTCAATGGCCCGCGATCAACAAATCTCTATTTAACTCCATCAAAAAAGTAACCTGCAGCGCCACACCTATTACCATCATTAGGATAAAGAACGGTGATCCAATCTCCGACCCCCAGGAACAGGTTTGCAGATTTGCTGAGCATTTCTGTGAGGTCCTGGGGAAGGGAAATCCCTCAGCCAGGAAAACATCGTGGCACAAAGTGAGGATGACCCTGCTGAGGCTGCGGTGCCTCAAATATTGGAGGAGGAAGTCACCCCTTGCGAGTGGCTGGCTGAGGTGCCATCTGTTGAGGAAGTACTGAAGGCGATCCGGAGTCTAAGACCAGGAAAGGCACCGGGCAGAGATGATCTCCCAAGCGAATTGCTGAGGGAGGGTGGCGTTTGTGCACAGACTGCCCTATATGACATCATAACAACCTGAAGCTTGCCACTAAGAGGGTGGGGGCCTTACCATCAGCCCCACCAGAACTAAGCACCTGCCTGGGTATTTTGTACCATCGGACACTCCACCCCCACAACTCCCAAATGGTGATAGTGTAGTGAGTGAGTGTGTCTATGAGTGAGTGAGTGTGTCTATGAGTGAGTGTGTCTATGAGTGAGTGAGTGTGTCTATGAGTGTGTCTATGAGTGAGTGAGTGTGTCTATGAGTGAGTGAGTGTATCTATGAGTGAGTGTGTATATGAGTGAGTGTCTCTATGAGTGTGTATATGAGTGAGTGTGTATATGAGTGAGTGTGTATATGAGTGAGTGTCTCTATGAGTGAGTCTGAGTGAGTGAGTGTGTATATGAGTGAGTGAGTGTCTCTATGAGTGAGTGTGTATATGAGTGTGTATATGAGTGAGTGTGTCTCTATGAGTGTGTATATGAGTGAGTGTGTATGAGTGAGTGAGTGTGTATATGAGTGTGTATATGAGTGTGTATATGAGTAAGTGTGTATATGAGTTAGTGAGTGTGTGAGTGAGTGTGTATATGAGTGTGTATATGAGTGAGTGTGTATATGAGTAAGTGAGTGTGTCTATGAGTGCGTGAGTGTGTATATGAGTGACTGTGTATATGAGTGAGTGTGTATATGAGTGTGTATATGAGTAAGTGAGTGTGTCTATGAGTGAGTGAGCGTGTCTATGAGTGAGTGTGTATGTGAGTGAGTGTGTCTATGAGTAAGTAAGTGTGTCTATGAGTGAGTGTGTATATGAGTGAGTGTGTATATGAGTGTGTATATGAGTGTGTATATGAGTTAGTGAGTGTGTGTGTCTATGAGTGAGTGTGTATGTGAGTGAGTGTGTATATGAGTAAGTAAGTGAGTCTATGAGTGAGTGTGTGAGTGTGTATATGAGTGTGTGAGTGAGTGTGTATATGAGTGAGTGTGTATATGAGTGTGTGAGTGAGTGTGTATATGAGTGAGTGTGTCTATGAGTAAGTGAGTCTATGAGTGTGTGTGTATATGAGTGTGTGTGTATATGAGTGTGTATATGAGTGTGTATATGAGTTAGTGAGTGTGTCTATGAGTGAGTGAGTGTGTCTATGAGTGAGTGAGTCTATGAGTGAGTGTCTATGAGTGAGTGAGTGTGTCTATGAGTGAGTGTGTACATGAGTAAGTGAGTCTATGAGTGTGTCTATGAGTGAGTGAGTGTGTCTATGAGTGAGTGAGTGTGTATATGAGTTAGTGAGTGTGTCTATGAGTGAGTGAGTGAATCTATGAGTGAGTCTATGAGTGAGTGTATGAGTGAGTGAGTGTGTATGAGTGA